TGGCAGCATTTTGAGGGCTCTCTGGGTTGCACAGGAACTCATTCTGCTCCTCTGGATGTCACACAACAGTTTATTCTCCAAGGCTGGCTAAAAGGGGGCAAGAAGCTGCTCAAAAAAAGCATTCGGGTATTTATTGGAAATGCCAATTGAGAACTGGTAAATACTGCCATTAGCCAAAAACATCACGATAATGACTTAAAAGTGACATTAAGTCTAGGACACAGGGAAGATCCTTATTTACCGACAGCAATGGCTGCACGACAAGGGGCCCAGCAGCTGCTAACACAGACAGCCCACAGCCACATTCCAGACGGCCAGGTCTGGCCACAGCTCTCTCCACGTAGTAAGCACGCATTGAAAAACAAAAGTCCCACACACCAGGGGGCATTTCTGCCCCAAATTTAAGAGCTTGGGGCAACAGCCGCTCTCCCACAGGAGGCGGAGGTGCCACGGGCACCGTTAGCAGCTTACAGCAATACCCGAACCCGCGATGCCCCGCAGCCCGGAGCCGCCTCAGGCCGCTGCCCAAACCTCTCCCCAGGAGCGCAGCCCAGCGCCGGCTTGCCGCAAACCGACGGCCGCGCAAAGCCCCGCTCCGCTGCAAGGGAGGGAAGGAGGCCCCGACCAGAGCCGGCCGTGCGGATATCGAGTGAGACAGAGCGGAGCGCACGGGAAGCGGGGCTGGACACTGCTGGGATAACTGCAGGAGCACGGAGCTGCGCCCGCTGCAGCTCAGGAGCTCCGCGCTCCCGCTTAGAGCCGGGCCTCCAACCCGCGGCGTTCGACTGAGCTGCCGGAGCCACGAGGATGTGCGGAGCGCCGCGGGACTCCGCCGGGGAGAGAGGCTGCGGAGCGCGGGCTGAGCAGCGGGACGGGAGCGGGACGCTCCGCGGGGATCTCACTCCTCCTCCGCCGCACCACCACCAGCCAGCGGCCGCCAGCAGCACGGCGCGGAGCGGCACGTCGGGCCGGGAGCGAACACCGCCGTTTCGCCGCATTCTACGCCGGACCGCCGGGAAAGGAGCCGGCGGCCCTCGGAAGGACGCGGCACGCCCGAACCCGCGGCACGCCCGAACCCGCCGCGCTCCGTCCCCGCTTCGCGCCTTCGCCCGCGGGACTCGGGACCCCCACAGGCGGCGCGCGGTGAGCCGCCCCGGGCTCCGCCTCACCTGCAGCTGCCGGAACTCCTCGTCCAGCTCCCGCCACTCCCCGCAGCACCGCTCCAGCTGCACCCTCATGGCGCGGCGCACTGCGGCGTGGCGCGAGCCGCTGGGCCGGGGGGACGAGAGCGGCGCGAGCCCGCAGCCCGGCCCGGCGGCCACGTGCGCCGCTGACGTCATCGCGCGGGGCTGAGGCGGCGCGAGACGACACCACGCGACGCGCCCCGCCCATCGGCGCGCCGCGCGCCCTCCTGAGGTAACGGCGGCCAACGGTCGGCGCGCGCAGCGGCGTGTGGGGCTGTGGAGGTGTGAGGGGGGCCGGCTGCGCTCAGCACGGCTGTGCGGGACGCTGCCCGTCTCCGCCTGCAGGACGGGTCCCGCTCTGACGTTCTGCTGCAGAAAAGCATATTAAAAAATGCCACTCCTGGCTTCTCCACACCTTTCCTCTCCTGCCCGGTGTTACAGACAGGTCCCGCGGCTCAGCCAGAGGGTGAGGTGAATTCCTCCAGCTGTCCCTGAGGCTGCCGTGTTTTCTGGAGCCTGCTTTATCTCAGGAGAGCCTCCGTTCTTTCTATTTGTTCTTTCTATTTCTCCTGTCGGCCCGCTGGACAAACCACTCGTACAGCTCAGTCAGCGGCTGCTCAGCCCCATCCTGTGCGCTTTTCACATCCATCTCTAGGATGCATCCTTACCTCCCCACCATTCCTCAGCACTGCCGCAGGTGAGATTTGGATTCTGTTTATCATTTCAGACAGGCCGTGCAAGTGTAACAGCCAGAGAGGCTCCTGAAGAGGGTTTGTGGCATCCCTGACGTGGTGCCTTAAACACAGCTTACTAAAAATGTCGGAAATGTACAGAAAGCAACCAGTGCTGGATGGTCAGAGTGGTGAGCGTTCCTCCCCTGCCTCCCAGTGTTGCTGCATCACTGTGGTTTCTGGAGCCCACAGCTGCTCTGGGTTTGAGGCTGTGAAACGGACCTTTGGGTGTCAGTGCGTGAGGAATGCTGCATTTCCCCTGAACTTGAAGATTTTAAACTTTTTAGGTTCTTGGAACTCTAACTTTCCATCTTTTTTAATGGCAGGCCTTTCTTCCCGGACCTTTGAAAAGCGAATCTATCAACAGAAAATCTGTTTTGCCTTTACTTTTAATGGTCCTCGAGTCGTCAACCATCACTGCCAGAAAACATATCAAACATTGAGCTAATAATTCAAGTTAAAGATCACAGCAGTTGTGTCTGTTCCTCTGATGTTAACTTCTGTCGGAGTACTTACAGTAATACATGTACAGTCAAGATGTGAGCTCCTTTCTTTTGCCTGCGGGACTCCTGAACACAGATTGCATTCATTCTGTTCTCTTGTGATAACTGAGTCTGCTCCCATCGATTCTTTTCCTTTGTCTTACAAATACCAATTCTTTCCAGCAGTGCAAACAGGAAAGGATAAAATACGAATTCTAACACCGGGTGACTGTAAGCCATGACAAATAAAACATTCTAACTCATGTTTCTACGGGGAATCGGTGCTGCTGATCTCATCGTGTAATCGGGATTTATTCCTCCGTTCAGGACTTGGAACAAGCGAGGCATTATCTCAAGTACGGCCGAATTACTTTTGCCTTCATCATCGTCCTGTGATCTGCATGTTTTAAAGCAGCGCCCAGGGTCCTGCGGGCATTCTGTGGTTGCACAGCAAATAATTCTCAGCTCCGGGCGACTTCTCTGATTAACATCGGAATCCCTGAGCGGTGCTGTCACAGGTACTCGAGTAGAGACAATGAGCTGTAAATCTGCAGCAAACGAAATTCGGGGGAAAGGCTGTCTGGTAGGCAGCAGCTGCAGCAGCTCTCTGGTAAACATGGCACTTTGCATGGATATGCGAGTGCTTGGGCATCTCAGATAACCCACAGATCTGACCTCAGATTGTCTGGATGTAAAAACAACACGATCTTTATCTCGAGAGAGCTGTTCACGGCAAAGAGATGGAAAGAAAGGCATTCCCGCAAGGCTGTCTTCTAAGCAAAAATCAGCCCGTGGAATTTCTGTCTCAAACTTTCTACTTCTACATCTCCTAAACCATGTGCACAATAACTCTTCAAAACACGCGTGGGGAAAAGCTGTGAGTGCTGCCCCCACTGCTCTTTGGCCAAAGCTGACACACGTTTGTTACGGTCCAGGACACTCCCACCTCTTCCTCTGGGTTTTAAGTGGAGCGCAGCAGCAGCAAACACACATCTGAGCATCCTGCTTTCACAGGATGTCGTTGTCACATTCCTCACCTTTAAAGAATTCCAGCATATGTTTCTCTGAGTGTTTTCCTATATTTACAAAGTTCCCGGAACAAACTCATGTTATTGGCTCTGACAGTTTTCAGTTGGTTTGGGCATTTCACTTTGGTGATTCCCTTCTCTTTGTGAGAGCAATCTCAGCTCAGAGCAGCTGTCTTTTTCTTGCAGAAATGATTGGTTTCGGATATTGTAGACACCTAAGTCCTTTGGGTTCATTCAATAACAGCAACAAAATAAAATCTCACTTTTTAAACTGAAAAAAGATGAAAACTAAAGCCCACGGTGTGTCCTGTGACCTCGCTGCACACAGGGCCGAGTCCTGCCTGCGCCCCTGCACACCTCCATCGCTCCGTTCGGCACACCGGGGCTACTGTCCAGACCTGAACTCAGAGAAAGGTTTGTAATACAGTGTAGTAAGAATTACTGAATATAGTGCCACTCATCTGTCACTCATTTGAGGATCAGCCCTCAGCAGGACAGGCTGACCCTCCCAGGCCATCTTTGGTTCTGTTTAATGGAGCTGCCTCTTGAGTTGTGTGCAGCTCATACTCGTCTATTATTCTTATTGCCATTGGCTTTGCTTACATCTGCCTCTGTGCTTTTTCTAAGCATTAAAGGGGTAAGAAACCAATCTGTGAATTTTGATTTGCTTAATTATCTTCTTTATTGCATCCAAACCAGTTTAAAGTAAATACTGAATTTCAAACATATACATACATACCTGTGCCTTTCATTTGGCCAAAGCTGTGGGTTGGTGACACACTTTGGGCTTGCTTTTCTAAATCCGTGCACAAGCTGCACTGGTTAAAAATAAACACGTGCAATTGTCTGAGTTGGGTAATTAATTAATGGAACTGACAGATTCTCAGTTAACTGCAGCGCAATACAGTGGCTGAATTATTCAAGATTAATTAATTCAAGACAATTAATGCTTTTCCAGCAGGGCCTGTTTGTGCTTGTAATACAAGGCTGTAACCTTGGGGCTGCAACAGGCATTTTTTCTTCTCCTCTGTGGGTTCCCCCCAATCCCTGCCCTGCTCCGCAGCCCCACGCCTTCGCTGTCTGGTGGTTCTCAGGCTCTGCACAAACCCTGAACACATTTGTGAAAGAGCGTGAAGAAATCCCCCTGAACACCTTTCTCTCATTCTTCATAACGAGAAATATATTTTTGTACCAGTATTTCCTAGCTGGGCCAGTCTGCCCAGCACTCCGTCGTACCCACACACCGCCGCACGCACGCGCAGCACGCAGCACTCGCTCCCATTCCCTGCAGGCTCTCCGGGCCGCCTCAGCCGGCGCTGCTCCCGCTCGCTCCGCGCACGCGTTGGCAGCGTCGCTATGACGACTCGGCGATGCCCGCAGCGGTGGCTGGAGGCGCTGCGCTCCGCTGCAGGTCGGTACTCGCGGGGCGGCTGGGCCGGGCGGTCGGGAGGCGCGGGCCCGTGTGCAGGTGGGCTTTCCCGACCCACTGCCGCCTCGCTGGGAACGTCCTGCGCTGAGCTCACAATGAGCTCGTTTCCCACTGCTGCTGCCCGGCACCGCTGGTGAGGAGCGAGACGGGAAGCGCGATACACAACAACGCTGCTCACTGGTCGTCATGGACAAAAATGGTTTTTGTTAGCAGTGATTAGACACGAAATAACTTTTGAATCATCAAGTGGAGAGCTAAGGGTGAATGTCGACTCGTTTTCTAAGATCCTTGATTTATCTAAGGTACTAGATTGTACTTCCTGGCAGTGAGATATTTCCTGAAATACAATTTTGCCATGTGCTTCATTGAGCGCGCCCTGCTGACGTGGAGGCAGAGGAGCAGCCTTAGGAAGGAGATCGGCTGTGTTCCTGCTGTGCCAGGACGGGTCTGACCTTCCCTGGTGTCCCAAAGTCCTCTTGAAGGTACACAGCCCCATCGTGCTGCAGCTTAGCATTTCCCAACATGCTACCAGCCTATTTTCAGATAGAGCTGTTTTGTACATCGGTATTTTTAGATACTTTCTGTTTGTTGCATCTTGATAGATATCAAACCCAGACCACAATTGCTGGCTCAGATGCACAGTAAAGTAAGCTTACAAACACACCGTTCTACCAGTACCTGCCTCTGTAATTTCTCCCTAATTCATTTCTGACAATCTTTGTTTTCCCTTTCAGCTGAGAACACGATGCCTGTTGTGAAATACCCCAGGGCTGCAGAGCCTCTCTGGCATGAATGGGACAGGAAAGCACAGAAAGATGGATTAAGACATACAGTCTATGCTGTAAATGGGGATCAGTATACTGGAGAATGGTTGGACAACTTGAAACATGGTAAGATCCATCATTTGGAGAAAAGCACCAACATAGGCATCTTTACAAAAGTTCAGGGCGTCAGGGAGCAGTCAGTTGGTGGCTGTGTGTGTTCATCCACGTACAACAGCATGTGTTCGATGCAATGCCGTGCAAAAATGTGCTCAGATATTTCTCATGGGTAATGAAGTGTGCGCTCAGCTGCAGGGCTGCTACTGAGACATCTAGGCTACAGATGTTAGAAATGCTCTGAACCCAGCGTGCTGCAGTCAGCTCCACGCACCCACAGCTACACTGTGCTTTCAGTGCTCTCAGCTCCCAGCACACGGGTTTTGCAGGGAAAGCATAACCCAGGGCACAGACAGCCCAAAAAGCAGGGATGCTGCTGCACTGCCAGCACCGAAACACACTGGCTTATGGTATAATCATTAAGCATCACACATTCTCCTACTCATCGTGATCATCTCCCTGCAATCCCTGTTTACTGAACCAGGTAAAGGCACCCAGATCTGGAAGCACAACGGCGCTATTTACAGCGGCGACTGGAAGTTTGGGAAGCGGGATGGGTACGGCTCGTACAGCATCCCTGACCCCGTGACCAAGGAGTACCTGAAGGTGTACACAGGCTGGTGGAGAAACGACAAAAAATGCGTAAGTGAGATTTCCTGCACCTGCCTTGAAACATGCAAAACAATCATTTAAAATACTGACTTTTTTCAAATGGCACCAGGCCCCCAGCTTGAAGGTCCAGAAGGGTTTGGGGGAAATGAGTATGTGAAGCAAGGAAATGAAAGCAAGAGCTCTCGTGCTGAAGCCCTCTCCCGGTGGGAAAGCCATCTGCCTGCCCTCCCCAGCCTTCAGGCCTGGGTTTGCTTTAAAATTGGGCTTGTCCCTCCTGAAAGCTCAGGAAGTTCCAGAGGTGACATCCATCACACTGCAGAGCCCACAGACTCCAGCAGGAAGCACCCATCTCCCCATCCCCCGCTCCCTGCAGCACAGGAGGGTCAGGCCATGTGTCCATGTATGAATGCATGCTGACCCCAACACTGACGTGCTTCCAGCATGCTTGCAGCGTGGGAGGAACTTGTCCACAGAGCATGCACTGCAAGTGCTGTGAGAAAAACCAGCTTAGAAGCACCGTGCTGCAGGTTTTACAGCACATTAAGCAAAGAAGACAAGTTATGTTGGGAATTGAGCCCGTGACATAAATCACCAGCTTTTCTACAGGAAGCACAATGAGGAAGTCATCCGGTAAAAACAACTGCAATCCTATGAGCACAATCCTTTTAGGATTTTCTGATCTGCCAATGGAAACCTTATGTTTGCCTTTGCGTCCACTGCTCTTGTGCTTCTAATTGGTGTGCAGCTCCATGGCTTGAGCCTCTTTGCAGAAGCTTCTTCCCTCATTCCCTGGGAACGTACTTTGGATGATTGAGTTTTGGCAAAACATTTACACTGACATCCAAACAACAGTATTTTTATTTATTTTTCTTCTACAAAATCCTCCCGTTTGCATCCAGGAAGTTTAATACAATTACTGCTCTATATAATGCTCTAAGCTATTGACACAGCTTTTTCTTTTTTCCCAAAAGGTGAATTACTGCTTTTGTCCTATGGGTAAACTCCCTAATAACACGTAAATATTTCTCAGTGCTATGATGTCCCGCTACGAGGAAGTCTCTAACCTGGCCAACACAGACACAAGATAAACACCTCCCTGAGGTTTCCAGCTCACACACACCTAGTAGGCTTAATTCAGAAGTTCATTGATCAAATGTACACCAGCAGTGAGCTGAGAGATGGTCTGAGAAGCGAGAGCTGTTTGTGTTTACAGATGCAGCAGGAGCAAAATCCATTATCAGTGGCTCTGGAGATTGTTAGCCTGCCCTGGGCTGGGAAGGGGCTGCCAGCCTGGGATGCTGCAGACTGCAGGAGACATCAGCCCTGTCATGGGACATCACATCCCAGTGGGAGAGCCACGTCACTTTGGTGGTGCATCCCCAGGTTTGTCGAACCTGGACCTGCTTTTAGCCAAATATTAGCGGCAGTCATGCCAAAAACAATACACTGAGATACAGACCTGAGATTTTGCTATGGGAATTTGATAATTGGTCAACGAAATCCCGTAGCATCACCTCTCGTTTCCTGCAACACATAAACAGAGGTTGAATTAGGCTGCCATCAGCTGTATCTAACAGTAGTAAGTAAAGGAGCAGCATACCAAGAAATTAATGCCCCAGAATTGAACACCAACACCTCTTGATAGAGAGGCTCCTGAGCAACTCCTCTGCTGCTGTGCAGGGCTACGGGACGATGCTCTACCCCAGCGGGGAGCGCTACGAGGGCGAGTGGAGCAGCGGGCAGAGGAGCGGCTGGGGTCGGATGTGCTACGGAGACGGCTCCACCTACGAGGGGCAGTGGCTGGCAGACCGGCCGGGCGGGCAGGGGATGCTGTGCCTGCGTAAGTACCTGCGAGCCGCCTGGCCTGTGTAAAACGCACGGCAAGCGGTGGCGGATCTTTGCTCCGAGATGAACGGTGGTGCCGCCTTGATCTCCAGCGCAGCCTTGCGGGGCAGAGGCTGGCACCCCATCTGGAGCCTCTCTCGAGCAAGCATCACGGGCAAGGGCGGGCCTACGATGCTCAAGGCCACACACATGGAAGCTTGCTTTTGCTGTGATTTACATTGAAATGACGGAGATGGGTTAGAGACAATACATTACTGGGTCAGAGAAGAACAAATGGCTATTTTTAAGGCAGGCACATCGCCAGGCATACTTTCATACTTTCTAACTGCTGCATACCAAAGAGTCCATTTTCCAGTACGTTACAAACAACAGTTCTGTTTCTGGGCTCCTTTCATCCCCTCTTGTACTTCCGGCAGTGGCTCACAGTGAGAGAACGCAGGGGTTCATTAGCACCCAATGCCTTCCCAGATGTGACACTTGAGTGTATCACAGATTGGAAATGTTGGGGCAATCCCATCATAAAATAGAAATATGGATCTTTTTTTTGCTAGCGATTCAACTTTTTTTTTTTTCCAAAGCCAAGACTGCCAGTCCTTTGCAGTACAAAACAGCACATTCCAGGAACATTTGAAGAAACATCACCTCCACAGGTTATGATGATGATTGTTATTAATCTCTTTTTTCTTGGGGGCAATCTCAAGGCAAATCACTTACTAAGCAAAGCAGCCGGGAGGAACAAGCATGACCCCCCCCTGCACACTGTGTACACATCTACGCATTCTCTGCTGGCTGTAAACCCATTTTGGATCAATGGCTCATACCAGTGACACCAACGCATGCTTTCAGGGGCAGCTCATTCAGCTGCCTCACTTTGTTCCCATCCAAACCAATCTCCCTGTTACAAACCAGGCACCCTCTGAGTTTAGCAGCTGCTGCTGGGCTGCTCAAGAGCCTGCCTGTCCCAGGCAGAGCCCAGGACCCCACTGAGCCGGATTCCTTCTCGTTAAAATTAGCCAGAGCGATTATTTCATACCCGTAAGCTGAACGCATTCAGCTCAACTGCTGGAAGTGTGCCCACGTGCTGGCAGCACTGCAATGGTGAAAGAAAAAGGAGTTCTCCAGTGGAGGTCACGACAGCCGCAGCTCAGATTAAATCACTCGCCCTGGCCACGTGCCTGGCAGGGGGAGCAGCCAGGAGCAAAGTGCTGCTTCACCACCGCAGCTCAGACCAGCAGTGCAGCAGCAGGCAACGCAGCCCTGGGATCCTCCGGTGGGGCAGCAGATGTGAGCAATGCATGGGAACGCCCGAGTGCTGCAGCACACCCTGTGCAGGCAACAGCCCCTCTGACGTAGCCTCAGCTTTGGACCTAGCCTCTTGATGAGCACATGCAAATCTCACGGTCTGTTCATGTCTTTGATCGCAGCAAACAATGACAGGTACGAAGGAGGTTGGAAAGATGGAAAGAAGCACGGCCCAGGCAGATTCTTCTTCTTGGATAAGGGACAACTGCTTGAAGGCATCTGGGTGACAGATGTACCAAAATGCGGGATTATGATCGACTTCAGCAGAGATGCAGCTCCTGCCCCCACCCAGTATCCAATCCCAAAGGTAACTGCTTGGAAATGCTGGTTTGCTAACGATGTCTATGCCAACAGCACTTGTTAGAGCTCACGGTACCTATTTGGGTCATGCTTTCTCTTCAGGTAGTCACTCAGGATCTGTACTCAAGCTCTTTTGGTTAGCAGTGACCCAAACATCCCCGCAGGGCCAAGCAGCTGGCTCAGTGGCACGAGGCCCCGCTGGAGCCTTGGACTTGCCTGCGCTTCTGAAAATGCAGTTCTGCACCAAAACTGCTTAGCACTCCGACCCAGCACAAAGGAGATGCAGCTAACAGCCAGAGACAACAGTGGGATTTGTGTCAAAACTAAATGATTTCTCCCAGCCCGATGGTTAAGGCTGACCACACCTCGCCAAGCCAGCTGAGCCCTGCACCAGCTCTGTTCCCCAGCCCCGGCAGTGCCCACACCAACATCCCTGCTGCCCCGTTCCCTTGAGAGCAGCAAACAACGCAGAGCTTTGCTGAGAACTGAGCTGCAACACCTTCAATGACCACAGCTTGGCACACAGCTGCTTTTTTTCCAGTAGTGCAGGGAACAGAGGCCTCACAGCCAGTGACATTTCTTACCTTGTAATGCTGCTCCAGGAACAGGATTGTAGTAATTAGTGCTGGGCACAGCTCAGCCTGCTGAGGCCCACAGCTCTTACAACTTCATTTCCTAACTTCATCCACATCTGCTTTCTCTAGTAAGGTTCTCCAGCATTTTTGACAGCCAGTTCCTTCTTCAAGTTTAAGGTACGGTCACAGCAGCACAGAATAATAAAAAACAAACACCAAAGAAAAGCAGCCCTAATTTTGCAAAAAGAGCAGTGCTTCTAAAAATCTAAACTAAAAATCTTTACCTCACATGATTTGTCAGAGATCACTCAAGAGAGCTGCCTCTTTGGCATCTCAGCCCAGGGCACAGGATGAATTTCATAGCTGCTAAAGCAGGGTGCTCGAGCCCAGCAGCTCAATTAACTCCCATGAAGACCAAATTATAACCCAGTTTTCCTTGTTTTATGAACTAAAAGAAAGCATCAGCTCTCATTGCCATTATTGTGCTTTCAGCTGGAAGAGATTTATTGATCTCAGAACAGGAATGAAGAAACATAAAAGGAGAACAATTGACTACAGGCTTTCATAAACCATTTGTCAAATTACCATCAGTAGCACCAGTTAGGGAAAACTTAGCCTTCTTTCCTTTCGAGGCATGCAAGGAAAATGAGCAATAGGAGGATGTGTTTGAGAGGGCCCTGACTGTAGTGAGGGGAAGGACAACTGAGTGGCCTTGGAGCACTGCTGTCCTACTTACTGCAGCCAGGGCTTTGTAAGGCTTCATGGAACAAGGACCCTGTCTTCTACTGGGGAGGGAGAACACACACATAAAGCCCCCAGCATGTGTGGGGCTATAAAGCAAGTCGGAGCAAGATGACAAGCTCCTGGCACGGCTTTAGTGCTTCCCTTTGCATTGTCTGCATGCACCCCATTTGATGACATGGACTCCTGCTTTCACGTGACTTACTGATGCTCAGCCATATCACTGCTCGTTACTCACTGTGGAACTGCAGGCGAGATCCAACAGGCTGCAAACCAGAGCCAGTTTTGCCCAGGAATTGCTTTTGTTAAAGAAGAATCAACGCAGCGCTTCATGCTGGGGTAGTGCAAGGAGACAAATGGATTCAACATTGTAATGAAATCCAGGAAGTGCAGTGATGTTTCTGAATTAGTAACTGAAAGGTTGTGGTATAAACTACAGTCCTGCTGCATGGGAGATGCTCTGTTAATGTTAATCAATAGCTATAAACTTTAAGCCTCTTTAATTGCACCGCATAATTGATTTCTGTTCCTTTTATTTAGATTGAACTAGCTGATCCTGATGGCGTTTTAGCAGAGGCCCAAGTGATGTTTGATGACAGCCAGAACGACTAACCAGACGCTGAAGGACAAAAGATGCAGGATAAGAACACGATCTCGGGTTACTTACGTGCCTCATGCCCATGCTGCCGTGCGTCGTCTTGTGGTCAGCCTCACCCGTCCCCCAGAACTGCCCCTGTATGCCTCACTGTGCAGGCAGCTGTGCTTCAGGCCTCCTCCCACCCACCGTTATTTAAACACGAGCAGCAATCAAATAACAACCACTCACAGCAGCAAAATGTGCTGGGGGATGCAGCGACTCTTCGCCCAGCTCCTGCTCATTCCTCCTGCTGCTCACAAGGCCAGTGGCTGCCTGCTGAGGAACACACCGGGCAGCAGGCAATTGGTTCACCTGATTTAAACTACGCTCCAGAGTATCACATCCTGTTTACAGCTGCGAGGTCCCTTTTCACTTTCTGTCAGCTGGAAGATAACCTACTTTTCTATTTAAACACTTGGAAAAGAGCAGTGCACTTAGTGTCAAGATTTAAACAGTGCTGATGGGAGGAAAAGCATTCTGCCAACATTAGGCTCTTTATACCTGTGTGAACAGGAAACACCATCTTTGTATGACTGCAGTGAGAAGCTGCATACATTTCAGAGACCCTCAGCAATACAGTGGGGATTAGCACAACACAGGCAGGCAGAGGCAATGGACGTAGAGAAAATAAGTATTTTTAGGCATCTAGGTAACAATCAGCAACAATTGAGTATATTTTATTTCATTATCTGAAGTTATTTTATATCTAAATAATTGATATACAATAACTGACATTTAAAATGCTTGAGGTAAACATGAAATACCATTAGTATAAATAAAGAATAAAAAACAAGCTGAAGTACACTCAGCATCTGGAGCCATACGATCAGGCCTGGTTACTGCCTCAGGCACACAGTTATGAGACGTGGCCAAGGCACAACTTTTGTGACCATTTCCACAGCTGGAAAACGAGAGAAACACTTGATATCAGAGATTAAAGTGCAGAAAATAGTCAGTGAAATGGCTGGGGCTGACAGCTCCAATAGGTGAGGACCTACTGGCTTGAGAAAGTTAAAAAATAAGCTCATAATTTTATATTTCCTAAACAAAACACTTTCATTTTGTAAAAGACCCACAAGATAAAAAGTCCAGAACCCTACCAAGAACAGCAAATAACTTTACAAAATAAGCTTGGATAATATATTTTCTGGACTTATATTCAAAATAATGTTAGGACTTTTAAATACATCATTTACAGACAGATGCATAATTTTTCAGCCCTATAGCACCCTTCTGACCATTTGTTCCAGAACACATATCGAGTCAAATCTGCTTCCTTTACTGCTGTTTTGAGAATCTCCCCTCCCAGGACGGGACTGGTATTCCACCGAGAGATGGGAAAACAAACTCTGTGTCTGCCTCAGTTACTGTGGTTTGGAATGCTGTTTTCTTACTGCCTTCACTATCAGAATCTTTACAGTGCTCCATGAACAAATTCCATGTGAGGAATCGTAGCCACAGTTCTCACCATCGATAGATTTACACCAGTATGAGAACACCTGAAACACAACAGAATGGCAGAGTGGGAGAAAATCCTGCCAGGCCTCTGTACAGCAGGAGGCCCTGGGAAACTGGTGTGTGGAAAAGAGTTTTCTGCCAGTGGGCAGAGGATACCCCAAGAAACCTGCTGAAAAAACACCAGGTCCTCTTCTAATGGCTGTTTTTCAGAACAGATGCACCACTGTCAACACCTTCCACATCCCATAGACTGAAAATACATCGGGATAACCTGAGATGGAGGCTGGGTGTAAGAGACCACATTCAGCCCAGGCTCACTCAGGTACAGTTCCCTGTACTGTCACATTCACCAGTCTGATTGAAAAACAAACAAACAAACACAACAAAACCACCACAGTTTATATTCCACAGTGTTAGCTACAGCAGGAGGTAAAGGTATGTTCCATTCGATTTGAAACCCGTCTCAGTTTGTCTTCAAAAATGGCTTTGACCCGTTACAAACCAAAGCTTTTCTACACAAGAATTGCATTCCAAAGAAAATCCACTTACAGACATAGCTGGAATTACTGCAGCAGCCCAGGACTACTGCTGCATCCTTCTTGGCCAAACCTCTCACGTGAGAGGCCCAAGGGAAGTTTTAGGTTAAGGAAGAAATTAAAAATAAAAAAAAAGACACCAGAGCCTCACTAGCATAGATTCATGTCTGAAAGTAAGCAGCAATATTAGTTACAAATAATCTACTTTCATAAATACATCTATGGAGATTAAAAATAGCTTCCAGAGGATCTGGAAGGCAAAAAACATCTTAAGAAGTTACTAAGGGCAGCACTTCAGCAAGCAGAAGACTTTTTCTAAACAAGGAAGACCAAGGCTTAGCAATAGCTAATTACTTGGGAATCCAATGCAGAGAAAGCACCTTTTGCAGCTTGTATCTGAGGATTTATTAAAAATATATTTTTAATATAAAAGTATAAAATAGTTGCTACTTTGACTTGGAAAAAACAGCAGTGGTTCTGATCTTCAAGCAAAAAAATATCCAGTGATAATTTCCATTTAGTTCCTTCTTTTTAAAAAAAGATTCCTAAATGGAAAACAGGCAGTTCTATCTCTCCAGATAATACATGCCAGCTTCTGAGAACTTGGAAACAGTTATTGCTTTTATTTTCTTCCAAAGAAGAGCATAGCAGTCTCATTCCTTCTCCTGTGGCCATACCACATGGCAGCAGAACGAGTCACGGGTGTTCAGTGAGTTACACAGCATGCAACTGCCATGGAAAGGTGCTGGAGAAGTCACTGATGTAAGAATTACTTGGCAGCAAAACACACTGGAGAAAGCGGTGGGAGAGCTTTCCCTTCTACCATCTGTCAGACTGACAGAACTGAGAGTGCTAGCACTGAAACCGAGTGCTAATTGCTGCATATCCCAAGTAATTTGTATCATGCCATGCAACACGGACTGGACAAACAGTATCTTCTAGTAAATGCCAACGTTAAACAAAGAGGAAAAAGCTTCTCTGTCCATCCCTATCACCCAAATGTACAGCATTACTCTCCTTGCATTTGTATAGCCACCATTCAGTGGCAGGCAGAAACAAATGAGAGTGCTCAGAAAAGGGATGTGGCACATGCACATCCGGTCATCCATTCCTTCTGCTCTCAGCTAGCCATGTTAAGGGGAGAACTGTTGTGGGTTGTTTTTTTTTCCCCAAACATTTATAAACTTCTATGAAAAGAAAATCAACAGTTTGAACATTCATGCATGGGGGAGTCAACATAAGGCAGGAGCAGAACGGTGGATTTATTTTCTTTAAGTACAGGTTTATGCAAAATGGGTAACAGCTGGGGAGATGGCATCACCTCTGTGATCCAGCTGATCCTGGAGCCGTGCAAATTCAGCAAGTTCATTCAATTCTTGAAACTGCCTGTCTGTTTTATGGCTCACCAGAGACCTGTAGAAGTGGACTGCAAAGACAATGAAAATCAGTCCAAAGGGAACCATGATAGACGTCGATGCAATGGCTGCTGCCTGTCCTGACGTGATGCTGGAATTGCTGCTCTGAGCTGGGTCAAGGGGGTTCTTCTTCAGGGGAAGAAATTTCACCCAACACAGCAACACCACCTCTGCAAGAAAGAGCAAAGTCCCAATGACAGTAGAAAATGCCCAGGCAAGCTCAATGTGCCGATGCATACGCTCATGAGGAGATTCCTTTACAGAGTTGAGATTATGCACGTTGCTAACTGCCTCTATATTTGGAAGAATGCAGGTACTTATCATGAGTGCAAAAAGGTGAACTGCAACAAGGACTGTAGTACAGGCACTGAAGGCTATCAGGAGACCTCGTGGGTAGTCATGCTCTGCATCAAGCTGAACTTCTACCATGGCCACCTGAAAGGAAAGGGAAAAAAAGGAGATATAATTACCTCTGTTACATACTGCTTGACTACCGATTCTGATTTTAAATGATTTTAATTGCAGGATAATTAGGCATGTCATTCTAATTCTGTTTATGCCGAGACAATAAAAATACTTATTTGATGCTCCAATGACTCTGGAACTTCACCTGATCCAAACAAAGTGACAGGCTGCACCACACTTCAGTCTTTGGTGGCAGCCATCACACAAAGCCACCCCTTCACATTTACTGCTCAGCTTAAAGCCAACCATCAGCGTGCACAAAAGCCTCGAGCAGCACAGCCACTGAGCTACCTCCAGCTCATCCCACAGAACAGCTGGATTTTAAGAGTCCAACCATGCTGATCACAAGGTGGAAGAGTTCTTCTTTCCCACACTACTAAAGTGGCAGACTCTACTATAGACTCTAAATATTGCTGAGTGTTATGAAATGCTTTGTGTCGCATATGTACGTAGAATGAATGCCGTGTGAAGTCATTTGAAGTTGGTATCAGTAACACGGCTGCCTGTGAAGGCTGCAGACTGCCTTCAAACCCCACTACTCCTTTCATCTTCTGTGCCTGTGTTCTGAAGAGCCACAGCCCTTCATTAGAGGATCACCTTTTCACAGGGCTCTCAGTTACATTCTTTCACTCAAAATAAGCCTTAAAGCAAACTTCCAAAAAAAAAAAAAGGTTCAAAAACACCAAAGGCTCCACCATGTGCATGGTGCCAAATAAATGTTAGAGGGAAGTGGTGTGGGGAAGGCTGAAAGAAAGAAAAATAATGTTCTCCTAGGCAAGAAAAATGAACAAAACCAATGAGGGGAAGATTCCAGAAGGAATTATTCAATTCAGCATGCTAAGATCTCAGATCCAGAAAACACAGTAGTTACTCCTGTTTGGAATAATAACAGGGACCTTACAGCAGAAATCCTCCTGTTCAAGGAATGAAGCAGTTTGAGAAGCCCTGGCCAGCACCAACCTCTGGAAGCTGCAGCTGTAGCCACATCGCTGGGAAAGCATCTCTCCCGTGTCTCATCAGCACAGGTTTGGCCCATTGCTGCACCACACAGATGGCTTAAATGGTGCTCAGACTACGGCACGCATCTCAGACGCCTTAATTTTCATCAAAAACTCACAAGGAAAAATGTTCATAGACAGCTGCACAAACAGTGAGCGTTCAAATATCACTGCTTTGCAGGAGCAACTAAAACTGCACCAAGTGTGGGGTCCCAGCTCCACACACACAGAGCCAGCACGTCCTATGGCACCCCAATTCCTAACTGCCTGCCCCAAACGTTAAGCCAACCAAGGCTCTTACACACGTTTCAACAGGCACTCCAGGCCATTTGCCAATATCTTAATTCCTTTATTGAAAGCTCTTGTCATCATAAGCCCAACCAACCAGCCAAGCTAGTGAGCAGCATCCAAGTGCTAAAGAAACTCCACAAGAAATTACAGTAATACATACACAATTCCTGCGTGAAGGTTTTAAAATAACCACTTCTCAGCTGTGAAAAACTTCACAGTTTAGAGGATAAACATATGGCCGTCAGGTCTCCCTTCAGCAGGGATTGCTCTCTAAGTCCCCATGCACTCGTGGGATGCTGGGCTTCCTGTGCTGTGTTTTTCACAGAACAACTGCAAGCCTTCACCACTGAGGAGTCATTTTCTTACTTATCAACATTTTTTCCATGTACGTTTTCTGGTGCGTAGCTTGAATGCAAAAGCTGGGCTGCTGGATCTATTGCAGACTCAATAATTCTCCACTCTTGCAGGACATTTAAATCCTCCATCCCAGTTCTTACTGTGATAACAACCAAATGAGACACCAAGGAACACCATAAGATAAATATTTTTTTCTCATAAGAACTGATTATTTCTTAAGTATTTCATTCGCCAAATGTTGATAACATTAATGACGATATCAAGCAGCTGATTCTAAAGTTCAGACAGGCTCATAGTTGCAACATATTGGCTGTTCTGGAGCTCTTCCCATTTCAATGGAGTCAGAAGGAAAGCTCTTTCCCTAGGCTGAGCTAAAGGAAATCTCAAACAATTACATGTAATCTAGAAGTACCTAGTTACAATTTGCCTTTACTTAAATGCAACCAAAAGAGCATCTTACACGAGAACAGCATAATTCAAGCAGCATTCACACATTGAGATAGCTCTGTGCAGAGAGAATCACAGGGACTTCTGATCTCCAAGCAGCAGAGATCCTGGCCAGGCATCTCCTGAGGAAAAAGGCTGCATTTTATCACTGCTGGTCACCCCCCATGAGTCTCTACCGTCACAACACCACAACAGGACAGGTGAAACCTGAGCTTGAGGGACACAAACAAGGCTTCGGCGTCTGTGGCTGATGGGCGTTAAGGCAGAGCAGCTCTGCATGGGGCGCCTGCTGCACTGGCCGACCCCATATGGCTTCTGTGAGTGCTTTCTGAAATGCACTGAGACCAACTCGAAAGCAGGAAGGGTGTAACTTCCTTCAGCTCAAACCATACCATGCAACTAGCTGCTATGACTGCAAGCATACCATCTCTGTAAGAAGAATTACAGGCGGCACCAACACCATCTCAAGGCAGCGCAGTAAGCTGGCAGCCAGGCAGGCACCACTGCACACTGCCCAGTATTCCCAGTTTGAGAATGGGCAAACAAGGCAGAAGCCATCTGCCCACTTGAAAAACAGCTGGAAAAATATTTCTCCTGACGCTAAGGAGATGACAGCTTCATAGATTCAGCCCTCCAAGGGACCAGTGCAAAAGCTCCACACTTTGAACATTCAGGGTATATTGAGACACGATCAGTGCTGCCCACCAACACTGACAGCTCTTTGCAGACTACAGGCTCTCCAGAAAGGGGGTGGATGTTTTTCTTAAACTTTCCTTCGTGAGAAAATGTGCCTAAGAAACAAAGACATAAGAGTTGTTCATGTGTTCATAGACAGGAAAGGAAAAAAATTATGCTGAAGCAGTTAGTTGTGCAGAGACACCCTTAAGCAAAAGGGAAACACATTCTATTGCAGTTGTGACATAGTGTTAGAAACACCCTGAAAGGAGCAGGGAAAGCAAGAAAGCACTTCTGTTCTGCATTCATTCAGCATCAATGGATACTTCAGCAATCCCTTCAGATAGAGGCGGTAGGATGCAGAATGCCCAAAGGATTTCAAAGCCCACTAAAGTTGATAGAAAGCCTCCACAGGGGGCACAGCAAAGCCGCCTTGTGCTTGCGCCTGGCAGAGCAACTCCCGCTTGACCTGTAAGTGAGAAATCAGTTCATGTTTTCTGTCTCCTCAAACTACCAAGGAAGTTGCTTTGGGAACCTTTCTCTGGAAAACAGCAGAAAAACTGCCAACACTTCTCAGTTGCAAGCTTCCATTCTAAAGAAAGTAAACAGCACAGGCCAGGCACCTAAAACAGAAAGCTCCATTTTTCATTGAGGTCCTGCATCTGCTTTCCAACAGTGAAGCAGAGCACAACAAGTTCCTGCCTCCTTTGCTCCTGCTGCAACTTTGAAATAAACAGATGAGAACTGCTCTTGTAAGGTCATGCTTGCAATTCCAGGGCCAAGGTGAGCATGTTCGCTAAGATCTAATCCCAC